GGGGGGAGTTAGTCTAAATGTGCATAAGTTTACACCCTTTGTGTGATTTCGACAAAGAAAATCTGGGGAAGGTTACACAACCCTTCCCTGACACAGATATTTTGATTGCCTTTGACACACGCACATACACACACACACAGAGTGACTTTTAAGCTTAAAACTGGGAATGGACTCTGGAACTCAGTGGTATCGTGTCGAAGTGCTCAGGTTCACAGCCAAGCTTTATATTCTGTTTGAAGCTCAGATAGTCTCAAGGAGCAAAGAGCAGTTGCAGGAAGGAGAAAAATTAAACCCAGCACTAGAACTGTGCTTCCAGTCTGGATCAAGGCCTCCAGGGTGTCTGCTTCTTCGAAAGAAGGAGATGCGGTCATTTCTAAGCATGTTATTTAATATTTTTAAAGTGCTTTTATGGGAACATGTAGTTTGGCTTCTCAATTGGTCCTTGAATGAAACATTCTCTGTACTTCAGCTTTCCCCAACCTGGTACTGTCTAGAGCACTGATGGCGAACCTTTTAGAGACCGAGTGACCAAACTGCAACCCAAAACCCACTGATTTATCACAAAGTGCCAACACTGCATATATATATATATATATATATATATATATAGAGAGAGAGAGAGAGAGAGAGAGAGAGAGAGAGAGAGAGGGAGGGAGGGAGGGAGGGAGAGAGAGAGGGCTCTGTATGCCTGCTGTGGCACAAGTGCCATAGGTTCACCACCACTGGGCTAATCCTACTCTGGTGCAAACCCCTAACCCTAATATAGGGCTAAAATACCATAGAAAAGAGGATGGTTTTGAAAAACCATCCTTGAGTAGCTTTTTCTGCACACCTCATCATTTCTGCCCATTCTGAACACATTCCAACCATAAAAACCAAGCCAGGACACCTCATTTTTCTAACCCTAACCCTACCCTGGGGCACACCCCTAACCCTAATATAGGGGTAAAGTTCCACTGGAAAGAGGGCAATTTTGAAAAAGCCGTTCTTGAGTAGCCTCTTCTGCACTGCTCAGACTTTCTGTCCATTCTAAACACTTTCCAACCATCAAAATCATACCAGGACACCTCATTTTTCTAACCCTAACCCCACCCGGGTGCACTCCCCTAACCCTAATATAGGGCTAAAATAGCATTTAAAGGGGGGATTTTGAAAAAGCCATCCTTGAGCAGCTTTTTCTGCGCAGCTCATCATTTCTGCCCATTCTAAACACATTCCAATCACCAAATCATGCCTTTCCCTCTGTTTTCCCATCCTCATTCTCTCTCCTTTTCCCTCACTTGGCTAGTTTCTTTTGTTATTGACTTCTGCAATACTCTTCATTTCTACTCCAAAGACAGTCTGGCTGGTCAGTTTTACCATAATGAAGATGTTTAGTCAGAAAGCCTTTGTCCTGGTCTGCTTGGAAGGAGAAAAATGGTCGATGGACATCTGTCCATTCCGCCCATGTGCAAGAGCCAGCTTGACTGAGAGTTGAAACTTTCTTCAGCTGGTAATGGAATTATGTCCTCTGGAGGGCAGAGGGCTAGCTTAGGGGCAACAAGACAGGCCACGGACCCCATAGCGTTGTCCTTGACACCTTGCCACCTCTCAGCATCTCCCACCTGGAACAACTCCCCCACCCTACCCAGTGGGGGCACCAGCCCTGCTTGTTGCTTCTGTTTTGAGACTTCTCTTTATAACCTGAAAGACGATCAAGCGTTCTTTTACTACTTTCTTTCCCTCAGAATGAAAATGGACGGATGGACAGTTCAAAATGGGAGTTCGAAAGCACAAAACCAGACCGAATTCATCCTGGTGGGCCTCTCCAATGACCCCAAGATCCAGCTGGTCCTCTTTGCAGTCTTCCTGGTGCTCTACCTTCTGACCTTGGTAGGCAACATCCTCATCATGGTCACCATTGTGCACGAGCGCTGCCTTCACACTCCCATGTACTTCTTCCTGAGCAACCTCTCGTTCATCGACGTCTGCCACTGCTCGGTCACCGTGCCCAAGATGCTGGCTGACCTCCTGTCAGCGGAAAAGACCATCTCGTTCACGGGCTGCGTGGCCCAGATGTTCTTCCTCCACCTCTTTGCCTGCACGGAGATCTTCCTTCTGACCGTCATGGCCTACGACCGCTACGTGGCCATCTGCAACCCCATGCATTACCTCACCGTCATGAACCACAAGGTCTGCCTCCTCCTGGTTGGCAGCATCTGGCTGGGCGGCTCAGTCCACTCCCTTGCCTTGACCGGCATGACCATCAAACTACCATACTGTGGCCCCCGCAAGGTGGACAACTTCTTCTGCGATGTCCCACCCGTCCTCAAGCTTGCGTGCACCAACACATATGTCATCGAGATCCTAATTGTGTCCAACTCGGGCCTGATCTCTGTGGTCTGCTTCGTGGTCCTGGTGGTCTCCTACGGGGTCATCTTGATGTCCCTCCGCCAACGCTTGGTGGAAGGCAAGAGGAAGGCGCTCTCCACCTGTGCAGCTCACCTCACGGTGGTGACTCTCTTCCTAGGACACTGCATCTTCATTTACTCCCGACCCTCCACCAGCTTCCCAGAGGACAAGGTGGTCTCCGTGTTCTTCACTGCGGTGACCCCATTGCTCAACCCCATCATCTACACTCTGAGAAACGAAGATATGAAGCGAGCCCTCAACAAGCTGCTGTGCCGGAAGGTCAATACAGAGAAGAACTGAGGGCCTGGACTGCTAAGAAAAACTCGGATAAACCAGTGAATAGTGATGCAGCACAGCCTGGAGGTTGAGCAGTGCAGCAACACTTTTGGATTAGCAGGGGTGGGGATGTTGTCTGCCGTTCCCACCATCCACATAATTTCTTCTTCCGCCTGAGCTGGGCTGAAATTCCCAGACTTGGAGAGATTTTTCTCCCCGGGACAGCAGATAGTTCCTTATTGTAGGACAAAGTATTTCTGAGTGGCTGGATCTAAATAGAAACCTAAGGGTTTCAATTCAGTGTACTTCATGCAGCAATTGGCGCGTAACTAATTCTTTTTCAAAGATTTTTCCCCAGTGTGTTGAGCTCTTCTATCCTATAAAGCCTGGGAGACTCAAGGCAGAGGCAGTATTATTACATTGTCGTTGTCATCCTCATCCTCATCCTCATCCTCATCATCATCTATCTATCTATATACCACTCTTCATTACCGTTTACACTGGCTACCAATTGAAGTCCAGGCCCAATTTAAGGTGCAGGTGATGACCTATGAAGCCCTAAATGGCTTAGGACCTGGATATTTGAAGGACTGTTTCCTTCCATATGTGCCTACCCACCCCTTAAGATCTGGGGCAGAGGTCTCTCTCCAGGAGCCCTCCTTGAAGGAGATTAGGAGGGTGGCTACCCAGAGAAGGGACTTCTCTGCAGTGGCACCCCCACTACAGAATACGCTCCCCAGAGAGGTTCACCTGGTGCCAACGTTCTACTCTTTTTGGCTTCAGGAGAAACCCTTTTTATTTTCCTGCTATTTTAACGTTTAATTGATTTTAATTGGCATTTTAGTATTTCAGTTGTAGGATGCTGTGGTTTCTTGTTCTATTCTACTCATTTTTTCTTGTAAGTCATCCTGAGACGCTAGTGGCAGACAGAGTAGAAAAGCTTTTAATTAATAAATAAATAAACAGTAGCAAGATATTTAATCATCCTATATAAATAAATGTTTGATTTTTAAAATCTTAAAATGCAACATTAACTTTATGGAGAATGCTAGATTTTAATATCAGCAACAAAACATTTATTTGGTGGCTTTGGCCAGACAGGACAGATTTTAACTTAGAATCAGCCCTGACTATAATTTTCTGTCATTTTCAGCTCTGTGTGCTAAATGTAAGTTGCCAGCTACACCTGCAGAGCAATGCATGGAATTAAAACATTTGTTTGAATCCAGGTTTGGTTCTGCTGCATTTGCCCGTGTAGTTGGAAGTGCTGATTGAGGCCGAAGAACTACATCAACCAACAATTCGTGTGTATAAATATTTATGAAAGGTGAATAAATATTATAAACAAGGTCTCACCCAAGAATTGAATACTGAACTGCCCAACCTTCCCTATTATTATCTCGGATCTTAGGCGATGCTTAATTCAGCAAAGATGGGTGTTTCAAACATACCAGATGCCACACTGTTTTGCTAACAAAGGCCTAATTAAATTGGCCAATTGTTGTTTTTTAATACATTTTATTTATTTTTTATTTATTTATTAAAACATTTCTATGCCGCCCCTTGCCGTAGCCTCGGGCGGCTCAAAACATATTTTATTATTTTTTCTAGAAACCAGCATTAAAAACACCAATCATTTAAGACATCGGACATACTGGGTCAGCATACGGACTTTTTAAAAGTCCATAACCATATATAAATCTACGCATAGTCCCGTTTCTCTAGCCAATAGCAAAAGAAGTTCCAAGTTTGATAGAAATATGTATCCTCCTTCTCCTTCAGAGACAAGGTCAATCTGTCCATTTCCATGCAGTCCAAAATCTTTTTTAAGATCAGTTCTTCAGTAGGTGGCTCTTCACTCCTCCAGTGTTGGGCAAATACAATCCTCACCTCAGTAATTACATGTAGAATCAAATACATAGCTTGTTTATCGGCATCATCAGGAATAATGCCTAATAGAAAAATTTCAGGTTTAAATGTTAAAGGTTTTTGTAACATTTCCTCAAGCCATTTATGCATTTTAACCCAGTATTTTTTTGCCTTATCACAAGTCCACCACATATGATAAAAAGTACCAGGTTTATGTTTACATTTCCAGCATCCATTTGACATATTTGGGATTAAATTGGCCATTTGTTAAAGCTGAAATGCCGCTGATGTGTTTCTTCTTCAAATATTTTGGCAATGCCCAATAGCAATTCCATTCTGGGAGGAGGTAATAATGTGGCTTAAGCTTGTGATGGAATGTTCTTAAATATTTAAATGTGCACATATTTTTTAATTGCCTACCCATTTCTTGGAATTTAATGCAAAGTCAACATAAATAGATTTTCTGTGCCCTGCTGACAGCTAAAAGGGTAATATTACAATAACACTGGAACCATAAATGGCCTCTTGCTTTTACACAGTAGATGGAGGATTTGATGAAACATTAGACTTTTGATGGGTGACCTTTAGGTGTAATGTACAAATGGAGATATAGATATAGGTGAATATTTGGGATGCCTTTGCTGAAGTCTATGCATAATCATTTTTAATAATGGCAGTAATGTTCTGTTAGAAACTTACAGAGATCTATAATACATATGTAATTTGTGCTCTGGATCTTTTTACATTTTATTGTTCCCTGCTTAATGGTGTGGTGTGAGAGGATGAACAATAACACAATTATAAAGAACAATAAAAAACAGAATACAGAAATAACAACAGCAAAGAAAACCTACTAAGTTAGATACTAACATCAGTGAAATACCTGACAGGCTAACTTTCTAGGTCCCTAACCTTGCCTCTCCCAACCCATATGAAGGAATATTTGATCCTAGCAACTGCAGAAAGGTTTAGCATAGTCTGATAGTGGGACTGAACCCAATCAAAGTAGAAATTCTGTTCAGATCTATCGGGACTCTTTCTTTTATGGATTTTATTTATGGATTTATATCCTGCCTTTTTCCTACAAAGGGCTCAAGGCAGCTTACATCATTCTCCTCCTCCATCTTATCCCCACAACAACAACCCTGTGAAGTAGAGTCTGTGACTGGCCCAAAGTCACCCAGCTGGCTCCATGGCTGAGCGGGGACTCGAACCCGGATCGTCTGAGTCCCAGTCCCATGCTCTTAACCACTACACCACACTGGCTCTTTTAAAGCTTCTGTAGTTAGGGGTGGGAAGAGGTATTTAGTTTGGGAACGCATGATGTTTCTGAAGAGGCACTTTAACTCTATCCCCATCCTTTACTTCAAATTAATTCTATCTTCTCCCCACATCCTTGCAAAAAAAGCAGGGTAAGGAGACAGGACCTCCTTCTGAACTTTGCTCCCATTGCTAATAGCTGTTAGAGAAGTATAAATTGGGGGAAACATGTGAAGAGAAACCTACACACAAGGTCACGGCCTGATCCAAATTAGCAGGTCTCGCAGGTGCTTTTAAGCTAAAGAATCCGGAAACAAACAAGAGAGGGAAACACAAATATGTTGCTGAATGAAAGAAGAAAACAACTTCTCAGGTGCCAAAGACAAAATATTTATTTTACCAACATGCTTGGAATTGGAGGTAGATTCTATCTCGGAGCCTCTTCTCCATCATCAGATATACTGTAAAGGATTCCTCCAACATTTATTTTACCTTAATGTAGTGTTTCAAAAAGATCAAATTAGGGATGTGCAGAAAGGACGACCATTCATTGCTGTGGTTGCATTTTCCGCCTTTCCTTTTTTAATTCCAGGAAGGTGGAATCTCTGATCTGACGCCGAAATAGCGTGACTGTCCTAATGTGATGCTCCTTGGCTGGGTTGGGGCAGGGAGAAGGTCACCCTCTGGGTCTCTCCACCAGGCAGAAAAATGTCCTGGACCAACTCATCTCCACTGCTTCTTTCATCCGGCGTCTGGTATTCAGCCATATGGTGCCCCTAAAGATGGAACCTTCCTACAGCCATCACCAATGGCTAAAAGCCACTGAGAGCATTCTCCTCTTCCTCCTCCTCCTCCTCCGTGAGTACGAATCACTTTGAAATCCATCTGACCAGTGGACATCGTGGCGTTCCCCCGACCCAAGCCTGTGGCACAGACGGATTTGCACCTGATGGGTTTTGTGTTTCTATTCTGCAATGGGCATTGTTGTGCCACTCTCTCTCTAAAGTTACTCTCTGAAGAAGAGAGTCTCTTCTCTCTGAGAAGAATACAACTCCTCAAACCCTAGGAGGGCTTGTTAAACTACACCGAGCAAAACTTTTAGAGTTTCCAAAACTTTGGGGCACTTGTCTGAAGTCCCTTGTGTCTTAATTCTGAGTGCTTCAAGAGCAGTATCATGAATTACCTGCTGGGCAGCTGTGGCATCTTGTTAGGACTGAAAGACTATATAAGCTCTCCTAAGAGAGGAGCCACAATACAGGGCTGGAACGAAAATGTAGCTGCTCCATCATTCATCTTTCTGGGTTATAGGGTCCTTTTCAGAATTATTTTGGAAACAAATCCAGAGGTCCCCTTTATCTTTCCAGAAGCCAAACCAGAAAGAAAGAATCCAGTTAGAATTCTTCTAGGCGGGAAAAAATCCCAAAGAAAATACTAAATATAAAGAAATAATCTGCATCCCAAACTTGCTTTTGGATTAGATAAGTTTTGTTTTTGTGTAGGTAAATTTGACACCTAATCCAACAACTGCATGCAGAAGAAGAAGAAAATTCAGTTATGAGGTTTGATGCTTTTTTATAGTTTATTATTAATCCTGTAAAAAACAAAACCATCTTTATTAGAAAGGCTTCCTCTGGTTTCCCTAAATGAACTATATCTTTTGGGGCAGTCAAAGCTTTTTTTCGCCCATCATAAAAAGGTCTGGAAGTTTATCCAGAAAGAGTTCTGTCACGTGTATAATCACCAGCAACAAGATATGTAAGTAATTCCTTTAATCATTTATTTGGGAAAGGGAAATTTGGTGGCATTGGGCTACTTAAATGGTTTCACACCGTTTGTTTTAAAGTCCCAGCCTCTCACTGATCTCCTAGTCAATAAGAGCAAGACTGAGCAAGACTGTTCCTAGCAAATTTTAATAATAACTGTGAAATGGACAAGGTGGACTGTATTTCACATCCACATCACCCAAATGGAGGAACGAGATTTAGAATTATGTGTTTAAATAACAGCCAGCAAGCTTCTAGTCCTCACAATTTAACCTGCTATGGAGACACATCTTTAAGTACAGCACCATCTTCATGCACATGGCCAGTGCTAAAGAATTTAAGATGAACAGTATTATATAAACAGTATTATGCTAAAAGATTCCATACCATATTCTAAGAGGTAACCTGGCTCCAAGCTTTTCAATGCTAACGCTTTGAACTGGGCCTGGACTTCAGTTGGCAACTGTGAAGATGGAGGACTGGTTTTATCCTCCTACCTATTATTATTATTATTATTATTATTATTATTATTATTATTATTATTATTACTATAACATTTCTATGCCGCCCCTTGCCGAAACCTCGGGGCGGCTTACAACATGATAAAATACATTGAAATACAATAGTACATAATAAATTACCATTAAATACAAAAATACAAAAAATACATCCTCCTCAGCAGCCTTGCTGCTCTGTTCTGGACAAATCCAAGTTTCCAGACCATCTTCAAAGGTAGACTAACAGAGAGAGCACTGCAATAATCCAGAAAAAGATAGGCTGGACATGCACATGGTGGGCATGTCGTGAGCGGAGCCAGGAGTCAGAATAGATGACCCAGGAGGCCCCTTCTGACTCTCTCTGTTTCTGTGTTGCCAGCATATGACATTCTGCCTGTCCAGAGAGGATCGTAGCTGGAAGATCAGCCACGGCTTATAAAATATAAGTAGAATCAGGATGGTTAAGATACTAGATGGAACTCAGGAGATCTGGATCCTGAGTCATGGTGGATCTGGAGATTCCGCCTTGAAGCTCCCTGGGTGATTTTGGCCAGGCACTCGCTCCCAGCCTAACCTGCTTCACAGGGCTGATGTTGTAAGGATAGAATAGAGAGGAGGAGAATCTTGCAAGCTGCTTTGGGTTCCTTGCAAGAGGAAGAAAGGCAGAGTGTGGATGGAAGATCAGCAGCACCATTTAAGCGTTTAGGACTACTAGCTGTCGCTGGTTTCATCCTCCTTGAACGCATCTCATTAAAGCCCTCCAAGCTGGAGAGAATTCCATGCTTTAACTCTGCACTGGGTGAAGAAGTCCTTCCTCGCACCTATCCGGGATCTCTCTCCCACCAGCTTTATGGGATCAGCCCAGCTTCTGACCCTTTCCGCCTCTCATTCCCACTCATCCATGCTTCACTCCTTCCAGTCGCAGCCGCACCAAGCATGCTTCTGGCCAATGGCACGACCGTGCGAGCGTTCGTCCTTTCCGGCCTGACCAGCAACCATGGCATCGAACTGGCCCTCTTCGTCTTCTTCACGGCCGTCTATGCCTCGGTCCTCCTCGGCAACACGCTCATCGTGATCACGATCATCTACGACCGCACCCTCCACACCCCCATGTATTTCTTCCTCAGCAACCTCTCCTTCATCGACGTCTGCCACTCTTCTGTGGTCCTGCCCAAGATGCTGGCCGACCTCCTCGCGGGGACGAAGGCCATCTCCTTCGGAGAATGCATCGCTCAGATGTTCTTCTTGCACCTCTTCGCCTGCACAGAGATCTTCCTCCTCACCGTCATGGCGTTCGACCGCTTCGCCGCCATATGCCGCCCCCTTCATTACACCACCATCATGAGCCGGTGGGTGTGCCTGCAGCTGGCTGCAGCCATGTGGCTGGGAGGGCTCCTTCACTCCGTTGCCTTGACCGCTCTGACGCTCACCGTGCCCTACTGCGGCCCCAACGCCATCGACAACTTCTTCTGCGACGTGCCCCTGGTCATCAAGCTCGCCTGTGCCGACACCTACGTCTTCGAAATCCTCATCGTCTCTAATTCGGGGGTGATCTCCGTGGTCTGCTTTATCGTTCTGGTAATCTCCTACATCGTCATCCTCATGTCCTTGAGGAAACGCATCTCCGAAGGACGGCGGAAGGCTCTGTCCACCTGCGCTGCTCACCTGACCGTGGTGACCTTCTTCCTGGGGCACTGCATCTTCATCTACCTCCGGCCGGCCAAGAGTCTGGCTGCTGACAAGGTTGTTTCCATTTTCTTCACGGCCGTCACGCCACTGCTCAACCCAGTCATCTACACCCTGCGGAACGAGGACATGCTGAACGCCTTGAACAAGCTGCGAGGTCGGCAGGTCCATTTGGGAGACAAAGGACATTAGGCCGCAGGGGTGGAGGAAGAACGCAACATGGTCAGGTGTGGAGCTGTTTCATTCTGAAGGACATTCACAAACTCACCGGTGGGAACAGCATTTCATCTGCTGAAGAGATGCAGAACCTCAAGCTTTGGTTGTTGTCATGTGCCGTCAAGTCTCCCCCGACGTCTTTCATCTCCTCTGCCTCTCTTTGAGCAATAATTGCCTACTCTCAGCAAGGACTCGCTGACGTTTCCTTCTTGTCACCTTTAGTCAAGCCCACTGTGATCTGGGCGACTGGAAGGAGCTCTGGGCAAGGCTGGGGAGTCAGGAGGGCACAGGGCTCATCAGCTGTAAGGTCTGGAAGTTGCCTGACATGGCGAGAGGCTGAGGAGGTCTTGCTTGGACCATGTGGAGAAGGATGGAGAGGAGAGGCCCTGAAAGGCCTCCAGGTGAGGCAGGAACACGGCACTGATGCTTGCAAGAGGGGGGGGTCCCACATGGCCTGGGAATGGCCCCCAAGCAGTTCCAGTGGTGAAGCATGGAGGCCAAGTGGCTCCTGCTTGAAAAATAGGCTCCTTGAAGGTCCTATTTCCAACCCTGAAGACCCCTGATTTAGGACTTTTTAGAAGGTCAGATACTGAGGATGAAACTCAAATACTTCGGCCACCTAATGAGGAGGAAGGACTCCCTGGAGAAGAGCCTGATGCAGGTAACGATTGGAGGCAAAAGGAGAAGGGGATGGCAGAGGATGAGGTGGCTGGATGGGGTCACTGGGGCAGTGAGTGTGGAATTGGGTGGACTCCAGGGGATGGTGGAGGACAGGAGAGCCTGGAGGAACGTTGTCCATGGGGGTCATGATAGGTCAGACACAACTTTGTCACTAGGCAGACATATTAATTATAACCAGAAGTTTACAGTGATCTGGAAGTCAAGCGAAAATCAACGAAGGTCTTATAGAATTGGATTCACATGCTCCAAAAAACAGGCCCCATTTGGAAGGCCCTCTGCCCCTTGGATCATGCATATGTGAGGCATTCGGTGATGTGGTTGAGAGCTATGGGTTTCTCCTCTTAAATCAGCCTTTGCTGCACCCCTCACCCTCAGTAACCATGTTCCCCAAACTGCTATCCTTCAGATGTGTCGTACTGCAATTCCCTGATTCCTGGGCCTGATAGCTAGCCCAGCAGACGTGGAGGCACGAAGTAGGGGGAGGCTGACAGGAGAGGAGAGTGCAAGCCACGGCCCGTGGGGGCTTCCAATATGGCCTGTGGCTGCTTCTCCTCGGCCCACAATCCCCCAGTGCAGCAGGTGCATTTTTAAAAGCTTCCACTGGTGTCAGTGGAAACTTTTTTCTGCCCTGTTACGCTTGGGAGGCAACTCCCCTATCGCCAGCACCCAGCAGGGGGGGATCCCACTTGTGTTCAGGCAGATAAAACTGAGTCTGGCCAAACCAGGGCTTTTGTTCTCCCACACTGGCACCACCCCACTGCCCCCAGAACCATCTTCGTTCTCCCTTCCCGCTTTGGGCTTGTCTGGTCTCCGAAACACAGCCCTGCTCCTTGCTAGTTGATCTCCCCCCTTCCACTCCCACAGGTTTGTCTCCCAGGGCTCCCTCTTGCTAACATGAGCAAGATTTCAACCTAGGCAAGGGGCTTAGCTTATGATCCTTGTGGTCCTTGAGCCTGACTGGTCACCGTGACCCCTTCCTGCATCATGAGCTTCTGCAGCAGAAAAAGGAATGCACAGAAGTCATCTTTGCCCTAATGAATTCCCCCCGGATCCTATTAAAGGTTTCTTTGAAAAGCACACAGAATGATGAAACGGCACCAGCAAGCTTCCTCAGGTTTTAATTAAGCAAAGACAGATGTTTATGGCAAGGATGGAAAAGGTGCACAAGAAAGTCAAGTTTGGTAAAAGCATTCAACAAATTATACGCAGTGGCATCATTGTCACCAGGGCTGTATATTCATTCCACATTTTATTCCGAGCTGTAAAGGAGCTATCCACAGTACTGAACCCTGTCCCCTAATAGCTTCCGCTCCATGGAGAGCTCCTTTGAGTTTCTGAATAAATGCCAGGCTGGATACATGGCCCTACATTGGAGGAATAAGCTTTCGGTCCATTTTGGGTTCGATTTTGTTTTAGAAAAATTCTACTGCCACAGTGTCTCTAAGGACAGGCAACCAAGGCCAAGATCACCCATATGAGTGTATTCCCAATCTCTGGGGATGGGTATAAAAACTGGACAGTGGAGAAAGCCGATGGCAAGAAAACTGAGGCATTCAAAACATGGTGCTGAAGGAGAGCTTTGTTGGGAACGCTGGAAGATGAGCAAGCGGGTCTTAGATCAAATCAAGCTAGAACTTTCCATAGAAACAGAACTGATGAAAACGAAGCTGCCTTCCTTTGTTTTCAGCAATTCTCATACATCCTGAGAAGATAAGACTAGTGCAGAAGACAATCATGCTGGGGAAAGCTGAAGGCAGAAGAAGAGGAAGATCAAATATGGGATAGATTGACTTCATAAATTGAATCCTATAGTTGCCATAAGTTGCAGATGCCTTGATGTCACACGGCAACAATAACAAATTCAGTGTATGATTAAATCTAGGCCCAATCCAATGTGCACAAATGGATAGATCTTTGTCCTAGGAAAAAAGCTGTTTCCAAACAATTAGAACAATTCACGTATTCAAATTTATTTATTTTTTATTATTATTAGAACATTTCTATGCCGCCCCTTTATTTACATTGTTTATTACAGTTCTATACTACTCAATACCCAAAGTTCCCTGGGTGGTCACAGCAAGATAAAACACATTATAGAAGTGCGAACATTTGAACACTGAAAACAGTTTTTAGCACAAGGGAGAAACAACCAACCATAAAAATTTCCAGGACCTGATTAAATACTAAAATACCCTGTCATATGTTGTCAAATGCCTGGGAATAGAGGAAAGTCTTAAGATAGCACCAAAAGGTGACATGGTGGACGCTGGGAAGACCTCACTGTGGGAAGCTTGATGGGCCACAACCCAGAAGGCCCTTTCCTTGTTCAATTTGGAGGAGGACTCCAGACCAATTCGAAAGTGGACCAGGATGGGTACTCCATCCTGTATTTCACTCCTTGTCCAGCCCAGCACCTTAGTCATTTCTTTGTTATAATGTTTTTCCATTTTTCCTTTCAAGGAACTCAAAGCAGCTCACACAATTCTTCTCCTCTTCTCAATCTTATCCTCACAACAACCCTGTGAGGGAGGCCGGGCTGAGAGTCTATGCCTGGCCCAAAGTCACCTAGTGAGCTTCATGACTGAGTGGGGACTCGAACCCAGATCTCCTGAGTCCCAGTCCCATGCTCTTCACCACCACACCACACTGGCTTTTGGTGGGATATGCTCAGATCTTCTGGTCACTACTGTTGCTCTGGCCACTGCATTTTACAGCAGCTGAAGATTCTGGACCTTTTTCAAAGGTGACCCCATTCAGACTGCATTGCAGTAATCTAGCTTGGAGGTGACCCAAGCTAACATGAGGGGAAACCAAGTCCATCTAGCATTAAATTGTTTCTGTTGTATTGCTTCGTGCTGTTTTTGATGTCGGGAGCCTTCTTGCACTTGTACAGTTTCCTTCTCATCGCTTTATTTGTGTGTCACTTTCCTTCAAGTTTGTTTACCGCCTACCGTGTGGACTGAAATATAATTTGCCCCACACAATAAATACATTGGACTGGATCCAGCCTTCGTTAGAGCAGACCCACTGAAATCAATGAGGCTTGAGCCTTGCCATTAATAACCTGTCCCTTTGATTTCAGCAGGCCTATTTTAAATTACCATTTAGAGCAATTTATACCGTTTATACCAGGCTTGAGCCTTGCCATTAATAACCTGTCCCTTTGATTTCAGCAGGCCTATTTTAAATTACCATTTAGAGCAATGTATACAGTTTATACCAGCCTGTGTCTGCTACATAACAGTATATAAAAATTTTAAATAAATAAATACAATCATGACTGGAACCAACCCATAATAAAAGTATTCATCCATACAACTTTGTAAATTAATGCCATTTACAAATAGATAAACTGACCAGCCAATGGCTTCAAACTATACAAGAAAAAGAAGAAATCCCAACACAGCAATGACTTGTCTACCAAGTCCAATGGATCTCCATTCCAGACAGACAATGCGGTGCTTTTAAATTTCGCCTTTACATTTTGGGTGGCAACTCCACCTGTGAGGTGGAACCTTCCTTCCAGCTCTCAGTTAGGTCCTCTGTATCTGTCCGCCCCCATCTCTCACCTGATCGGATTACCAGCCCTCTTTCAAGCCCCACATACTTGCTTGGTGTGGACATTGCTTGGTCTCTCACCAGGACCGGGCAGCATTTCCAAAATTATCTTCTGGCAGCAGGATCTATCTGGAACTAAGGTGGTATGGACTTGTCAATGTCCAGGGCTTCCAAAACATGTCAGCTGTTGCAGAAGCCAGGATCTCTCCTAGCGGAGCTTACAAAGCCTGAAGATATTGTCACCAGTTGGGTTGGTCTCTATTCATCTGGATTCACCCTCTTCATCATCTCCTAACCCTTTCCCACCAGAAAGGACAGACATTCATTCCCTCAGGGAGAAGACCTTTCTCCAGTTTCTGAACTTCCTCATGGAGTTCTTCACCTCTTCATTCCTCAGGGCATAGATTATTGGGTTGAGCCCTGGGGTCACCGCTGTGTAGAAGACGGCCACCATTTTGTCCATCGAGAAGCTACCAGCAGGGCGGGTGTAGATGAAGATGCAAGGCCCCAGAAACAAAGCTACAACGAGCAGGTGGGAAGCACAGGTGGAGAGGGCTTTGCGCCGCCCCTCAGCTGACCGCGTCCTCAGTGACACCAGGATGACCACATAAGAAGCCACCAAGGCCAAGAAGCAGACCAAGGAGATCATGCCACTGTTGGACACCACGAGAACCCCAGTCCAGTAGGTCTCAGTGCAGGCCAGTCTGATCACTGTGGGGACGTCGCAGAAAAAGCTGTCGATGGTGTTTGGGCCACAGTATGGAAGACGGATGGTGAGCATAGTCTGCACAAGGGAGTGGATCATCGCTCCGACCCACAGGGCCCCCACCAAGCAGGTGCAGACCTTGAGGGTCATGAGGGACAGGTATTGTAGTGGGTGGCAGATGGCCACGTAGCGGTCGTAGGCCATGACGGTGAGGAGAAAGATCTCAGCACAGGCACAGAGGTGCAAGAAGAAGAGCTGGGCTACACAACCGCCATAACTGATGGTCTTCTGAATGGAAAGGAAGTCCAGGAGCATCTTGGGCACGGTGACCGAGGAGTGGCAGACGTCGATGAACGAGAGGTTGCCCAAGAAGAAGTACATGGGGGTATGAAGGCCACGGTCGGCAGCCACCGTCACAATGAGGAGGAGGTTTCCAGTTAGAATGAGCAAGTAAACGATGGCAAAGGCTACAAAGAATATCGGCTCCAGTCCTCTGTTGTCAGTTAGCCCCAGGAAGACGAAATGGCTCACTGCGGTGTGGTTTGGCCCATCCATTTAAATGAGGCAGAGGGTTGGCTGTGCCATCCACCTGAGCAGAGAAAAATAATACATTCCGGTTGTTGTTTACTTATTTGTATATGACTTATATAAACCATTCAGCATCAGCGTCACCATCGCATTCATACCACATATTTTTTTTCTCTTGCAAGGAACCCACGATGGTTTATAAGGTTGTTCCCCTCCTTGTTATTTTATTTATTATTTATTTATTTATGCCGCCCCATTCGCCGAAGCCTTGGGGCAGCTTACAACAATAAATTAAAATAATTATAATCATTAAATTAAAAAATATAAACATTGGATTAAAAATACAAAAATACAAAATAAAATAAGCCACCTTGGCCAGATAAAATCCAATAATATTAACAGTTAAAATGCCGCTTAAATAAAAAGGTCTTCACCTGGCGCCGAAAAACAAATAACGACGGCGCCAGGCGGACCTCTGTGGGGTGCGCATTCCATAACTTAGGCGTCACCCTCCTCCGAGTACCCACCCTCCTAATTTCTTTCACGGAGGGCTCCCGGAGAAGGGCCTCCCCCGCCGATCTCAAGGGGCGGCTGGGCAAATATGGATGTAAGCGCTCCTTCAGGTAACCAGGACCCAAGCCGTTATACATTTTAAATGAATAGCAACAACCCTGTGAGGTAGGTTAGGACCATGTGAGCTCCCAAGTCACCCTGAGTGCAGGCTAGGATCCAAATCTCTCCCGTCTAACTCTCCCCTGCAGGCCACACTGACTCCCTGTTCATGTACATAAGAACCTAGGAAGAGCCTTGCTGGATCAGAGCAAAGGCCCGAGATTCTGTTCCGACAGAAACCAACCAGCAGCCAACCAGAAGTGCACAAGTTCCAACCCAAGTTCCCCAGCTGCTGGTGTATGTTGGCAGAACCTGACCCAGATCCTGGTGTTGGCATATTGCCATTAAGTCTAAAAACCACTGATAGCCTTCTTCTCCATGAAGTTGTCCAACCCACCCACCCCCCCTTTAAAACCATGGAGACTGTTGGCCATCATGCAGAAGTGAATTCAGTAGTTGAACAATTCTGTGCTGTGAGAAAAGCATTTCATTTCATCTGTCCTGAATCTCTTTCCTATCAGCTTCATAGGATTGTTGAGGACAGAAAAAGCCCCTCTTGTTTATTGTCTGATGGTGAGCGAGACAAGAAACACTAGCAAATAATTTTATATTTTAAAAGACTATTGTGGTTGCACACTGACAATTACAATGCGCCCGTCTCCAGTCAGGACCAGCTGCCAAAGTCATCTTACACAGTAAATTAATACATTTTATTGTTATAATGATTAGTAACAGAAAATACCACAGCAGAAAACATTCAGTTACATTTGAACATGCTTAGCTTGACCTGCACTTCTTTTTTAGAACATCTGGTGTCAAAACATCTGCCTCCAGGCTTATCTTTACAAATTCTGACCTTGATGGAGGTTTATTTTATCTCTTCTGACTCTCTTGAGTATCTCTGAGAGAACACTACGTGACTGGCGTTTGTTGTTTGGTCATCAGGAAAACAAAATATTCTTTGGGATGACCTCTCTAATATTATGAGAAAAGAAAAAGTGAATTCTTACTCATGCTCACCACACCATACATTCTTTGGTTCACCTCTCTCATTTCTCCCTTACTCCCCTTTCTTCTAAATTAACCATCCCAACAGTCATAACCTTTTCTTACAGAGAGTTGCTCCAGATCTTTGGTCCTTTTAGCAGCCCTTTTCTGCATTTTTTCTACAGTATCCTTTCTTATGTTCTCTGGGTCTGCATAGGTGGAGTTCAGAAGTGAAATAAGGTAATGCCATTTGGGGTCAAGCCAGTGAAAGATTTCTTGGAATAGGGGATCATATGTTTGCTTTCTCTGTTCTCATTCATTGTCTCTCCCTTCCTTCTCTCCCATACATCAACTTTCCAAATTCCTGTGTGTGTATCTATCTGCTTCACAGTGTATTAGCAATATTTAATACCAATATTAAAAAGTACATGAATAAGTAACCACATTTTTGTATTACTCATATAGAGCCAAAACTTCACACACCCTTGAGAGTCCAATTCTCTGAATCTGGAGCATTTCCAAAACCTGCTTTTGGGGTGCTTTAAAAAATTGCAAAGATGGCTCTAATTTTTTGAATTCAAAACCTTGACCATTTCAGTCCCTGCCACCCTTCCGCAGCCATAGATTTATTATTTCAATTTCAAAAAAAATAGATTTATTATTGCAATAGCCTTATTTCCTTTCTCATCCACTCTCCATACAGATAGAAGTTACTGCTCGGCACATGCGTTGCATGCAAAAACCCAGACATCACTCGTTAAAAGAACTTGGATGCCTAAGAAAAGCTTCTGTGTGAATTTTGCTGAAAAGCAGCTGCCAGCCAAAACAAGCAATATTGGGCTGGAGGAACCAACCATCTGTATTAATTTATCTGTTACATTTGCACCCCAACTTTTTCCCTTTAAGAAAGATGGCTCTCCTCTCTGTGTTATCCTCACAATGACCCTGTCGGGTAAGCTAGGCTGAGAGTCAGGGGCTGCCCCCAGGTTACCCAGTGATCCCCATGGCTGAGTGGGGACTGGAACGCAGGTCTTCCAAGTCCCAGTCCAAGACTCTAACAGCCCCATAGTGGCTTTCTGTCCACCAAAGCCAGGCACTGATTTTAGTGGGGTGAAGTTGAACATAGGAAGAGAGCCTTCTGACACCCATCTCTCCTTCCCCACAAGGCACAGTCAGTCCCCTCTCAGACTCAGATCTGAGTCCTGGGACAGAACAGCAGTCTTTCCACCAAAAACCTAGTCCTGATCACCCCCAACTTACATCACATAAGCAGTCTAATTTGGTGGCAAGGGTCTTTTTGCCGTTGCCATTCTTAAAAAACTGGAAGAGAGAAATCTTGCTAGATCTAGTTCTGTTACTAAGTGATCCACTTCTTGCTCCCAATCTGATCAACAAGGCAATCTATCTTCCACTCAGCTTGTGTAACTGTAAAGATACATTCACACACGCTGCACGAGCAGACACACAATCACGCTCCTTCCACAGACAACCCGTACGCCAAGAGCTGGGAGGCACCAACAGCTGCCATACAGTAAAATATGTAAGAAACAGTTGCCACCAGCAATTTCCCAGCTCACACTGGCCTTGAGTGCAAAGCAAGCTGTAGATAACAAGTAGAAATGTCAGATTCATTCCCATGCTGTCCTTGGAAATGCAGAACATACACCTGGCTCAGGAATGAAGATTATGCCACCAATTTCAGGACTCAGCTTCCTTCTCCTTTACGGTTTCTTCTTTGCAGTCTTGGTCCCACCAGGGTCTGTCTAGGTTCCATCAGATGGCATCCATCTCTATCTTTTATAGCTTTGGGTTCTTCTAGTGTAAGAGCTGTGCGTGATGTCTTGGAGGACAATGAAGGAGAAGGGGGGAGAGCTTGGGAGATCCAAGCTCCTCGCACTAATTAATTCACCAAGGGGCTTGCGTGTTTACCAGGGCTTACATGTGCACAAGTTTTCGTCAGACTTTGGGAGCAGGGGAGGAATAAAATAGATTGAAAATAGAAAAATCGTATTGATGTTTCAATGGCTCCTTTCCAAGGCTTTGAAATAAAGGTCTGTAGTCCAATTCCCAGGTATGCTGCTCAGAGATAAGGAGAAAATGATTCTGCCCATGCTCAGAGGCACTCTCTCTCACACACACCCCGCCTCTTTCTTGCGGCTCTTTTATCATGGAGGATAACGGGCACTAGTTCTGATGGCAATACTCTACCTCTTGGATCGGGGTGGAACCAGAGGTGGGGCAGGTACCCTCTTCCTGTTGTCCCCACTGCTATTTGAGTTCCCCTACAACCAGGCTTCGGCAAGGGGCGGCATAGAAATGTAATAATAATAATAATAATAATAATAATAATAATAATAATAATAATGTGTTCTGCTGCTTCCTGGCATCCACTCTAAATCTTATAGAAAGAAAAGTGGTTGTGAGACATAACTGATGCATGGCTTTATAGTTATTCCTTAAGGTTTGCTTTCACATGTTCAAGATCCAAAACAGAACAACATCTGGTTCCACTGGGGTTCGAACCCAGGACCTTCTGCGTGTAAAGCAGATGTGATAACCGCTACACTATGGAACCTGCTGCGAGACCATGGACCATTTTCCAAAGGTATAACCTACCATGCAGGGCTATTCTACACAAGGCATTTTTTTAATCTGCCACATTATTGAGACTTCTGCTTCCATTTTCTTTGACCTTTATACATTCTTCCCTGTTTCCCAGGGGTTTCTTTCCTCTGCCTTGCATGTGTCCCATAAGCAACCACTAGGTGGGACTGTGAAATTATGCAAATATACGAGAGCTTCATGCCACCTTTTATAAATAATACTAGATTTTTCCTAATCTAAAAAAAGCAGCAGAAATGACTGCAAAGGACATGAGAGGAAGAGAATTTTGTGCAAGGAGTGTATACAGTTCTGTGTGCAAGGAAACATCAGTGTACAATAAACGTCTCATGCAGAAAGGCTCATGGACTCTGTGACATAATTAATTTGTTCTCCGTTGACCATTCTTACTAGCTGCATGTCTAGCAACAAAAAGACTTTGCATTCACATCCATATCAAAGCAATAGCTTTTATGTAACATAGATGGTTTCTTTGTTCTTCCAAATATTTCTCATTGTCTTCATCCCATAGTTGCACAGATCCAATACGGCTAAAAGCCATCTCTTGCAAATGAGTGGGTAGTTCTAATAATAATAATAATAATAAAATTTACTGTGCATTTGTCATTCTCTGTTCATGGTCATTCGGGGTTCTTCAGATGACATCATGAGCAACTCATTACACTTCTGTTCCTTAAAGTTCGTCACTTTATTCCTTTCAGTGTCAGGAAAACCCTTTTATTCTCCCAACATTTTAACATTTAATTGGTTTCATCTTTGATTTTATCATTAAAAGTCAGATGCAGTGTGTTGTTTGTTGGTATGTT